TTATGGCAGTCTAAGTTGCAGAAGTGTGTTGCACTTTCAACAACTGAAACAGAGTACATTGCCACTACAGAAACTGGCAAGGAGATGGTATGACTCAAACGGTTCCTTTAAGAGCTTGGATTGCATCAGAAGGAGTATGTCGTCTATTGTGACATTCAAAGTGAAATAGACCTTAGCAAGAACTCTATGTACCATGCAAGGACCAAACACATTGATGTGGAATATCATTGGATTCGAGAAATGGTAGATGATGAATCTCTAAAAGTCTTGAAGATTTCTACAAGTGAGAATCCCGCAGATATGCTGACCAAGGTGGTACCAAGGAACAAGTTCGAGCTATGCAAAGAACTTGTCGGCATGCACTCAAACTAGAAGACAGTGCTACCTCCTCTAGATGAATGAGACTGGAGGGGGAGATTGATGATGTCCATCTCATTGAAGAAGTATTAGGCATGTGCCTAATAAGAGTTTTCTTTGGTTTGGTAGCCAACCTTGTTGACTTGGTTTGGTTGGTAGCCAACCTTGTTGAATTAGTTTGGTTTGGTAGCCAACCTTGTTGAATTTCTTTGGTTTGGTAGCCAACTTTGTTGAATTGTGAAAAGTGTGTGTAAATTGTCAAATATTGTAGGCTTTAGAGGGTGAAGCTTTGGCTATAAAAGGAGAGCTTCAACTCTCATTTCTACACACCAACAAAGAGAGAAAGAAAGAGTGAGGTTTCACAGACAGGGTATAAGAAAATAGTCTGTGAGGAAAATAGAGAGTGAGCGATATTGTAGTGAGGTGGGAATATCAAAAGAGGGTTATTTCTTTTGAGTATTGTAGTGGTCTTTGGAGTATTTTACTCGGACCTACAAAGTGTAAAATTCCTTACTATAGTGATATCAGTTGTTTCTCTCGGGGCCGTGGTTTTTTCCCTTATTAAAAGGGTTTTCCACGTAAAAATCTTGGTATCGTTGTTACTCTTTTATTCTTGTTAATTACCGTATCTCGGTGCTACATTATTATTCAAATTTGTTACCGTGAATATTATTTTTGTGGGGGTTTATTCCCAACACGCTTATCATCAAGAGATGTTTGCCATTACTCATGTTGTTGTGAGTAAGTGGCGACACTATTTGCTTGGGAGACGTTTTGTTATTTATACAGATGAGCAGGCTCTCAAAAATCTCACTGACCAGGTCATACAAACTCCGAAACCACAACGATGGATTGGTAAGCTAATGGGATATGATTTTTCTATTATCTACAATCCTGGGCGTACCAATTTGGCGGCGGATGCTCTATCTCGGCACCATTTTGCTCAATTTTGGCTATCTCGGGTCGCTCGTTTGATTTGGTGAAGGAATTATGGCAAGCAAATTCTTCCCATCCTGAGTTGTTAGATTGGCAAACACACCTGGCTTCATCTGTTGCAAATTCTTCTGATTTTCTTTTCAAGGAAGACCTTTTATTGTTTCGAGGATGACTAGTGATTCCTTCTGATTCTTCATTGCGTCTTCATCTCCTTAAAGAATTTCATTCATCACTTGTCGGTGGTCATGCTGGTGTCGCCCGGACTTTTCATCGATTGGCCTCAATTTTTTTTTTTTGGAAAGGAATGCGCAAAGACGGACAGACCTTTGTGGCTTCCTACCAAACTTGCCAACAGATGAAAGATATTCTCAAACAACCGGCTGGACTTCTTCAACCCCTCCTTGTTGCTGCAGTATTTGCTTCTGAAATAATCAGACTTCATGGCCATCCTAAGATTATCGTCACGGATAGAGATCCGCGCTTTATGAACTCTTTTTGGAAGGAACTACATCGTTTGCAAGGAACAACTCTTTCTATGAGCACTGCATACCATCCCCATACTGATGGACAGTCCGAGGCCCTCAATAAATGTATAGAACAGTACTAACGTTGTTTTGTAGCCGACAACCCCCACGAATGGACTCCCTTGCTGCCTTGGGCTGAATACTGGTATAACACTGCGTACCAAACACCAGCTGGGATGACCCCATTTCAAGTTCTATATGGCCGGGAGCCTCCTACTATGGTGCGTTATGTCTTTGGGAGTAGTTCTAATGCTCTGGTGGAACAGTACATGCTTCAAAGAGATGAAGTTATGGATTTGCTAAAGAATAAACTACTCAAAGCACAACAACGCATGAAGGACTTTGCGGATCGCAAGAGGCGATATATGGAATTTGCAGTTTGTGATTGGGTCTTTGTGAAGTTGAAACCTTACCGGCAACATTCTGTAAGATTGCAACGCCATCATAAGTTGGGACGACGGTATTTTGGTCGCTTTAAGGTGCTTCAACGTATTGGCGAAGTTGCTTACAAACTTGATTTGCCAGAGGAAGCTCGCATACATCTTGTTTTTCATATCTCCATGTTGCGTCCTTGCATTGGCACTCCTGAAAACTAGATTACGCCCTTGCAACTGCATGACACTTATCAGAACTTGTCACAGAACCTTGAGGACAAGGTTCTTAGCGGCGATGGGGGTATTGTCATGACTGATATTGGGCAAGATGACAACATGGATGATGGGCCAACACGAGAACAATCTGATGGGCAGACTGGACTGCTGAGGAGAAGCAAACGAAATAAACGACCAGCCCAAAGATTGAAGGACTACGTGTGGAAACCTGTGTAGTAGGAAACATGGATGAACTGTAATGGGTAGTGGGGAATACGGTTAAATAGCAATGTGTGGGAATCAGTTAAATAGCATATTGGTAGCATAGTAGTAGTAGGTTGAATTTGATAGAATCTCTCCTAATCCTCTTCGTCTCAGTTCCTCTATTGCCAACTTCTATTCTGTTTCCTTCCCCGCTCATTTCTCCTTATCTCTTTAGTTATTGTTGTTTATAGTTTGCAAGTACTTTTCTTTAATAGAAATCCAGTTAGTTTCCTTTGAATTATTGTGTGATATTTGAGATTATAACATCCTTCCCCACTTGCACTACCTGGATTACCTTTACTACAGCTATTAACATTCAATTTAAAATGAAGTATAAACTTGGCTTAATCCGTCTTACTAACTTGATATCTAAATTGGTGTCAATGACTCTTCTAAGGGGTCATTTGGTTGGAATACGATTTATACTGATATAAGTTATGTTGGGATTAGTTATGCTGGGATTGTTGTTTATTTATTGTTTGGTATGTTGTATTAAGAATGACAATGACATAATTTCTAAGAAAAAACTATAAGTTATACCGGTGCTAATTACCCCACCTTCTATAAGGTATAAGTTATCCCATTATTAAAATTAACACCGGGATAACTTATACCTGATTTGCTAACCAAACAGAATATTAAGATGGTATTAAATTTTTATACCACCCTTATACCTTCTTATACCTCACACCCAACGACCCCTAAAAGTACTCCTAACATCATCATATTTGAAAGCACATATGTGCTTCCAGATTTCCCATAATAAAACAGAGGGAAGGCACCGTAAGAAAAGTTCATGACTTTGTTTCTAGGCTTAGTAAACCACCAACACATCACCATAGATCTGATAGAAAAATTCCTCACAGTGATGCCACAAGCATTAGAAAAATACTTCCAAACATTTCGAGCCATTTCTCCTTCACAAAATTGGTGTTTGATAGTTTCATTTGAGCTGTTCGAGCAGCAGAAACATTTGGAAGGACCGTGAAGAGCAAACCCTCTCAATAAATTATATGTAATACTCCCTCTTTTTCAATTTATGTGAACCTATTTCCTTTCTAGTCCATGCCAAAAAATGATAGCTTTCCATAATTGGAAACAATTTATCTTTATGTAATGATTTACAGCCACACAAATTATATGTTCAAAAGTCTTCTTTTTTTCTTAAACTTCATGCCCAATCAAATAGGTTCACATAAATTGAAACGGAGGGTGTAGCACTTAACCTAAGATAATTCATATATTATAAAAAGGAAGTTGTTGGCCATTGTTATCTGCCTTCTGTGCCAGCAAACCTCATGAGATATGCATGAAAAAGAAACTAAACAAATGAAGTAAACTTAGAAAGGAGAAGATAAACTAGAGTATATATGTACATTCACTCACACCCATCTGATTGTAATTATGCATCACATCTGGGCCATAGGCAGAAGCAATAGCAACTTTTTAGTAAGCAATACCAGGGAAGTCATCTGATTGGAAAAGAAAAAGAAAAACTACGCACAGTAAAAGTCTCCAGAGCTCATAATTTTAGAGTAAACTCAATCTCCGTAGGCATGGACCACAAGCGGTGGCGAGCCAGAACATTCACTAAGGGGATTCAAAATTTAGAGAAGTAAACACATAAAGAAGCCACAAGGATTCAACATTTATGTACATAAAGAAATTACTTTTACCTATTCACACATAGTAAGTTTCCAGCGAAGGAGGGCGATCAGGGGATACAGTAACCACAAGAACTTCATTTCCAATGCTTTTTTGCTCTTCTAGAATTTCCCCTGCAGAAGTAACAGCAGCTTGGCTGCAGTAATGCAAGTCAATCAATTTTAATGTGGGAATATCTCCGATAACTCTAGGAATCTCCTCCAATTCAGAGCAAAACATTAGGACTAGATACTCTAGAACTGGAAGACTATCACTGGCTGCCTGCCAGTGCACCAATCTCGTCTGGTGAATGTGTAGCAACTTGAGTTTCTTGAAACCCCCTTCATCTAGATTCCAATTGCTCCCTTCAAAACCATAAAATTCTAGTTTGAGTACCTCAAGGTTGGGTAAGCTGCTAAGCATTGGCATATCTGTCCACTCTAGATGTGTCGCTACAAGTGTCAAACTCTTGAGGTTTTCTGGGAACACGTACCACAGCTGAGCAGGCCGCCTTATAAAAAACAGTGGATGCGACGAAACCTTTAGTTGAATGCTTAGCTTCTGGAGATCAACAAGACATATGAGACTACCAATAAAATCATTCCATCCATTAGGATGTATATCTAAATTGATAATAACATCCAATTCCTTTACGTTCGGGACAGCCATACAAATTTCCTCCCAGTTGGAAGAAGCTTCGTTTAGTGAAAGTTTCTTGAACTTTTCTAAACCCAAAATATGTTGTGCCTTTGGAGGAGCAGGCACGGGCATACTCATTCCCCCAGACTGGAAATATTTCAAACTTGACATCTTCCAAATTTCTACTGGCCAGGATAATTGATTTTCAGTTGGCTCGACAATCAATGTCTGTAGATTCCACAGATTAGAAATTGATGTTGGAACATCGCCACCGGTGGTAAAAGCAAGATATCTTAAATGTACTAATTGTGTTATCTCAGTGGGAAAAAGTTGAAAGAGAATCATTAGTACATCCAATACCCTTAGCAGCTGAAAACGAGTATCCACTATTTTGTAGTATTCAAATTCGAGCATAGAAGTACACGGTTCACAGATGCACAAGATGGTACGAACTGAATCCAGATTACCTTCCTGTAGGCCGAGATTCTGGTTTTGCACAGCATCTTCATACAACAATAGTCGGTGTTCACTCTCCACGCCTTCTGACGACACTTCGTAACATTCATTTATGACATGAAAAAACTTCTCGGTTTTTCCTTTTCTCAAGCATAATAGCCGAATGAGGTCGTGAATCTTGCAAGTTCTAATTTTTCCGCTTACCCATCCTCGACTGTTGACCATAATCAAACTTCTGCTAACTAGATCCTCTAGGCACTCTTCTGCTACCTCTTCTGGCTTTTTATGGCAAATTGTCTTCAGAAAACCCTCAGCTACCCAAATTCTAATCAATGTATCTGTAGGAATTTCTGCATCTTCAAGGAAAACCCCCATATAAAGAAAGCAAGCTTTCAAGCTACAAGGCAAGTAGTTGTAACTCAGAGCTAATATTGCTAAACACTGCCGGGAGGTTGAACCTATGTGGGAATTCACATTATCAGCAATTTGTTGCCATTCGTCATGTGTCCTATTGATCTTTGACAAAAGCCCAGCGATGACAACAATTGAGAGAGCTAGCCCTTGACATTGTTTCGCTATCTGATTTCCTACTTCCTCAAGCTGAGGAGGGCAATCTTCATTTCCAAAAACCTTAAGAGATAGTAATTTCCAACTATCTTCAAGACTAAGCAAAGGCATGTGATGAGGAGAGAAATCATTGCTAGCACAATTAGCTACTTCGAGGAGCCTAGTAGTTATCATTATGCGACTTCCATTTTCATCATCGGGAAATGATCTTCGTACTTCGTCCCAAGCCTCTATAGTCCATATATTGTCCAAAACTATCAAATACCTCTTCCTTTTCAATTTTCTACGCACTTGGTCCAATAATTCATCTTCGCTCGTATTGCGGTACATTGCCTTCCCATCTAGAATACCGAAGCTTAGGACATCCAAAAGCATTTCCTTTGCATTATATGCTTGAGAAACAGTAACCCATGAAGAAATATCAAAACGTCGGGATACTGATGGATGATTAAATAAACTTCTAGCAAGAGTCGACTTACCGATACCGCCCATACCAACAATTGAAACAACATTCAATGCTGGTGTTTGTCCAAAGAGCTGATCTCTTATGTTGTTGAAGACATCCTCCATCCCAACAAGAGTATTTTCCTCATCCAAGACACGCCCAGGTGAGCGGGGAGGTAAATAAGTTGTTGCTGGCACATCTTTGATACGTTTGTGGACATTCTTGAACTTCATCACATCTCCTTGTATGGAATCCATTGCTTCTATTATTTCCTGTAACTCGTCATAAAACTTACGACGGGCGTTGTTCTGTTCATGATCAGTATCAGCCACATGGATTCTTCTTAGGCAGCAATCAATTGTATCTTCTGCTTTATATCCTGCATCTCTGATCTTCTTTTCCAAGAGTTTCAATGCATCTTGATCATTGATCCAGTTTCCCGTATCCTCAAGGAAATCTTGTAAGATAGAAAGTGTTCCATAAAGTGAATCAATGGATTCTCTACTTTCAGAAATCAATCTTGGATTGAATTGGAAGACTTGCTCTATAGTTGTCAAAATGGAAGTTATAACAGCATAAGCCATCTTTCTCTTGATCTATTTGAGGTTTTCTCGAGTTGAAGAACCAAGAAAAATAGTACGAGTCCAACAAAAGGAACTCCGGAAATGAATGAGTGCTTCAAATCCCTCACACAATCGGTCTTTTTCGTGGGAATTTTCAATTGGTTTTCGGGGGCCAGGCCGGCAAAGGGAGTAGGTATGAGTTTGAGAAATTTTGTTTTTATCTGCCACAGAAGAAACAAAAGCATCAGAATTAGTCAAATACACATTGCCTTTTCAGAAGCACGAGAGCGCAGATTAAGGCTCTTTAATTAAGCTCACTAAAATACCTTGTACAACCATGTGAGAGTTCATTTTTCTACGCCATAAATCTTGATTTAATTATTGATTTCTACATTGCATATACTGTTTAATCTGTTAACCACTGAACTGGAACAAAGTAACTCAAGAAAGATTCTTGATTTTCTATTATACTTATCTGTCATTCCTTGGAGGTAGCTTGTAATTGCAAAATTATCTAATGTCACAGTAATCATAAGCGATGTAACAAAAATACCAATTCACACACACACACTTGCAAGAAATTCACTCAATTCTTCACTCACACACACATACACACACACTGCATAATAGGAATACACTGAAGCTCGCCTTCATAACTTTCTACCTCAATCACCATCTTTTCCGTTGAAATACACCACTATGAACATTTCCTTCCCATGAAAGAACTTTTTCTTCACTGAAAACAGATTCGACAAAAAACCTCTCCATTTACCCATTTTCACAAACACCATATCTACACTATTTTGCGGCGGTGCTGTTGCCTATTAAGTTTCTAATCGATCTCCCGGTTTGAGTTCAAACCCCTGTTCTTCCAGTTTTGGTCGAGTTTCTAATTTTTCGTGGTTCTTCTATTTTCTCTGTTCGACTGTCGCTCGGACCTTTCAGATTTATACTTTTTCTAATTTTTCCAGTTATTTCACTCCTTCACTCCATTTATTTGTAAAAATTATTTATTAGCCCAATACTAAAAATAATAAATGCTACTCCCTTCATTTCATATTAAACAATGTACGTTCCTTTTTAGTCTGTTTAAAAATAAATGACACATTTTTAAATTTGAAAATAATTCAACTTTAAACTCTTTTATTTTACCTATTTACCCTTAATGAGAAGCTTTTATAGCCACACAAATGTCATGGCCCCACATACTTTTTACCCCTTAAGCTTTTAAGATCACAAGTTTCAAGAAACTTTTTTTTTCTTAAACTCCGTACCGAGTCAAACGACCTCATATTATATGAAACAGAGGAGTGCTAAACAGGCCCAATGGCCGTTTTGTTTTATCCTTGCACAATAAAAGTGCACATATACGTTTTGTTTCCTCTTCCCCACGTTCTGACCAACTCTTCCCTCAAAGGTCAGAGTTTCATCTAAGGTAAAATTCCCAGTCTTTCTTCAGTTCATGGCATGGTATAGCCGTTTAATTTTTCCAACTATCTTCTCCTAATAATTCTCCATTCATCCTCATAATTTCTAATTGCAATGATATTTAATGTGTATTAACTTCTGATTATTAAATTGATGATTAATCTTGTGCCTACTGATACTCTATTTTGATGGACTATATATAGATGGTAATGACTGTTGTTCATACTGTAACTTGCTTGCTTTCTCTTGCTTCTCATTATTTTCTTAGAATGACATACTCTTTTCTTTTAGAGTTGGGTCTTCAGAGGGATGATTGGTTGATAAGGGTTAGAATTTGTAGAATGTGGGAATCTTTTAATCCCAAGAAAAATGGAGAGTTAATTGGCTTGGATATGATCTTTATTGACGAAAAGGTACATATATGATTCTTAATCTTTTATATGTAGATTCTCTTTGTAGCTTTTAACCTCAAAATACTTAACTCTTTTCTTTTATCAGGAAAATTTGATGCATGCTACAATCAACAAGAAACTATATAACAAGTTTAAGGATAAGTTGACTGAAGGTTCTTTGTCTGTTATCAAGAAATTCAAAGTTGTTGAAAATAGTGGTAGATATAGGCCTGTTGAAAGTAATTTTAAAATTAATTTCTTACTTAAAACTGTTGTCAAGAGTCTAAAAGAAGATGTTAGTATTCCTATAAATGGATTTCAGTTTATCACACCAGATATGATCGACTCAAGGGTGAACAATAACACTGTGTTATCAGGTATATTCATTATAATTTTTGCTATCTTTTTTTTAAATATCCATGTGATTCTTAAATAACTGCTTTATGCTCTTCATTTGAAGATGTGGTGGGCTATTTGTGCGGAGTTGGAGACATGGAGATTGTTGGCTCGAGGTGGAAAAAAAGGGACATTCAAATTGTTACTAATCAGTGAGTCGCTTTTCATTTTATGTTTGTTTAATTTGTAAATCCTCCAGAACTTTCATTTCCTATTATGTTTCAATTCCTCTTCCTCAATCCATATTTCTGTTGTAGTTCTGTCAAAGCAAAAATTACTTTATGGGAAGAATTTGGTGAGAAATTCGATCCTTATTTGTACAAGAATGATTCTGGCCCGTATATCGTGATAGTAACCGCTACAACAGTTAAAGAATTCCGTGGTAATTGTTTTAGATTTAATGATTAAAGTTATATACTCTGTTACTTTGAATATTAGAATAAAATATTCATTATTGCATTCATTATCAATAGGTGAGGTTAGCTTCGCCACCAGCTACGCAAGCAAAATATTTGTAAATCTCAATGTAGACTACATAACTTCTTTGATCCAAAAGTTTGCAACCGTCTCTGCTGGAGTACAAACTATTGAACGTTCTAATGTTAATAGCATTTCGATTGAGGAAGAAATGTTTTTTAACAGGATGAACATCAAGAAGTTGTTGGATTGCGACTGGAGTCCTGAATTAGAGGTTCTTTCCCTATTTTGCTTCTTGAGTTTTCTGTTTCTCAAAATTGCAATATGCTTCTAATACATAATTTTTTAAATGGTAGGAATACATTGTTACCATGAGGGGAGAGATTACAAAAATAGACAACCATTTTGGTTGGTACTATATTTCATGAAATGCGTGCTCAAAGAAGATCGAAGCTGAAAATGGTGTCTATATTTGCCATATTTGAAACAAAGAATGCAAGTTTTCTTTGGTGAAGTAAGGAACCAATCTCTAATGTGAATTTGATTCATGTTATTATTTAAACTAACTTATTATGTAAAACAAGGTATAAGATACACCTAAAAGTCAAAGACAAAACTAGGCAGAGCAATGTTGTCCTATTTAATCCGATTGCAGAGAAGCTACTTGATACATCAGCCCACAAGTTGTTAAACAGGCTGCCATCAGATAACAATGATGTACCTATCCAAATCCAAAGCCTTTGCAAAAAAGAATTTATTTTCAAGCTAAAATTAAACAATTATAATTTGCAAGAGGGGCTTGAAAATTTTACCGTATCAAAGGTTTTCGTTCCAGTTGAGAATTTGGAAATACAATAGCAATCGAGGAAAGATAAGAAGGCACTGTGTATATGAAACTTTTAATCCATAATTATATTGGACTTTCATATATATATATATATGTATGTATGTATGTATGTATGTATGTATGTATGTATGTATGTATGTATGTATGTATGTATGTATGTATGTATGTATGTATGTATGTATGTATGTATGTATGTATGTATGTTTAATAGGTATGTGAACTTTTCTTTTTCAAAACCAAATAGGCTGCTGATGTCACATTCGATAACTTGGAAGACTCTGATGAAGATCAACATGTCAATGATGGTGTTACGAATAGAAAGAGAAGAAACATAATCATAGACGACGATGAGTTTAGTGATGAAGACACCAAAAAATGCAAATAGTAGAGTCTTTAGTGTTGGTTATAGCATATTGTGTGTGCTTAAATAAAACTGTTTGGTCCTCTTTTTAGCTTTTTGTTTGGTTGTTTGTAAGACTGCGAAGAACCCTGTCAAAGTTGTTGGTCATTCACACCACTTTAGAATATGAAAAGTGCTGGCTTCTTCACTGAAAAACTTGAGTTCGGTTTGTCAACTATGTTTTGAAGTTTGTTTTGATTTGATTTCTACCTCTTTGTTATGGCACCAGAGTAGTTTCTTGAAGATATAATCCATTTATTAAATTGGTAACTTATATTTTCGGTGCAGTGACGGTTAAATTGGAAACTCATGATTTTGGAGCGAATGTTGCCGCTTCTCCTTCAATTTAGGTGTATTGCATTCATCAAGAAAGCATAATTACTGTACATGATGGATAAAGTCTCTTGCTGAAACAATCCTTTGATAATTTATTTACTTCGTCTATTTTTTTGTCTCAAAGCGAAAAACCAGTTTAAGAGTTGAACAATTAGTAAAACTTAGTATACTACAACTCTTTCCGCAAAGCTAATAGTCACTTAATTGAAATGCACATTGTCACACCTCCTTTTTTCGCGCCCGCGAGGGTGTGTGGGGAGTTTTCTCCAATTAAAGGACAGTCGAAACGGGATTTGTT